ATAGCTTACAAGGGAGCCGCTTTTGCACAGCTTGTTTTGCCACAGGTGTTTTGCTGAGATAAAATAGGATTGTGATTAAAAAAAAGGATCTGGGCAAGCTTAGAAAGGATGGCGTTGGAAAATGAGAAGCCATTGCAGGAGGGTTTGGGGCAGAGTGGCTTTCTGCAGGAGTTCCTCTCGGCTCTCCAAACCGCTTTTGTGGCGGGCGCCATTTTACCTCACGAAGGAGTTTTTTTTTGGGGCCGCCTGAACCACCTCCAACCGGTTCCAACCGCCTGTCACGCGCTGCTGAGGGGAGCAGTGCGCAGCAGGGGGGACGCCGGGACGCCCCCCAGCACCCATCCCTCACCAAAATCTCCAAAAAATGAGAGCAGGGCTCGCAGCTCACCCCCGCAGGTGTATCTTTACAGTTAGCACCTGTGGGGTAGTCAGGGCTAACGAGGGACAGCAGGGCTCGGGGGCAGCCAGCCAGGAGCCCACACAGAAGGCACTGCAGGAGGATGTGCACCTCAGCGTGAAGCCTGCTGAGAAAAGGTAAGCACATATTTATTTTTATGCATTTTTTCCCTCATGCAGGAAGGCTTTGCTGCCTGTGCCTGCCTGCTTGCACACGCTGGGGAGCAGCCAGATGGGGTTGAGGGGGAAAAATGTGCAAGTTTGTTGGAAAACAGGCCCCTTGGGTGTTTGGTTTGTACAAAGGTGGCCTCAGGAGGGCCCGGCACACAGGGATGTGACGGTGCACGTATGCAGGGGGTCTCAACATAGCATGCAGGCCCCATGGTGTCCCCCAGTCGCACGGCAGGACTTGCCCTCATCCCTTGGCTCCTGTCCACAGACAGCTCACCCTGGTCTGCATCTGACCCCAAAGGCCTGCTATTCTACACCAGCAGCACCCAGACTTGTGCTCACACCTCCATCACCCTACAGGAAAGGGGAATTGTGTAGTGAAGGTTTTCCATGCTCTGCACCCAAATGAGGGGCTAGTTATCAGGTAATATGGTTTATGGCTAGAAGCTGATTTTCTGAAACTAAGTGACAGAAAATCCTTTTGCTTTGTAAATGTTGAAACTGAGGTCCAGTGGGCAGGAGGTGAGGAGACTAAGGAAGAACACGACTGCCCACATACTGTAAAGACAACTGGTGGACAGCTTCCATTATGTCAGTTAATATCTTATGTGTATTGTTTGAAAGAAATTGTGCTGCACCTTTTTTGGATGTAAATTCCAGTGGAAAGTGACCCAGCTTGCTTCCCACACCCTACCACAAGCTGGATCTCCCATCACCTTACCCCAGCACTCTCCTTCCACACACTGCACAATTTCTGGGGGCACAGAGTCTTGCAACTGTCTTTTGAGGCTGGTGCTGTACAGTGTCACATGCATGCTTGTGTAGTTAGTGTCACTTGGATGGCCTATTTCTGTCAAGTGAGGTTAATGTGAACTGGTCACAGAGAAGTTACTTTTTGAGAAGACAAAGCTGCTGGTTTGGCTTAGCCATCTCTCCTCTCCTAGGTCCTGCATTAGATTTTAATAGTCACATCTACTGTTTCTAAACTAATCTCTGCTGCAACTGAGTATTTGTTTTCCACTTTGTAGGCATGAGGTGATAACATACATCACTAAATTTGCATTCATAGAATCATTTAGGTTGGAAGAGACCCTTAAGATCGAGTGCAACTGTTAACCTAGCCCTGCCAAGTCCACCACTCAACCATGTCCCTAAGCACCACCTCTACATGCCAAGTCCACCACTCAACCATGTCCCTAAGTACCACCTCTACATGCGTTTTAAATACCTCCAAGGATGGTGACTCAACCACTTTCCTGGGCAGTCTCATTCCATGCTTGGCAACCTTGAAGAATTCTTCCCTACTATCCAATCTCCCCATTACACCACACAGCCTCAACGCTGTTTTGCAGGGTTTTCAAGGTCCCATTATTCCCTCACCATAATGCTGTAAGGAAATCAAGTGGTGCAGCTTTTATTCCCAGTGAATAGCCAGGGATGGAAGCTAAACACATATTAGCAAACTTGCAGGCTTCAGCAAATGCATCCCTCTTAACAGGGTTCAGTATTGTTTCTCCCCCACTTCCACCTCAGTGTTCAGACAACCAAAGGGCAGATTCTTCCCATGGACTCTTGGCTCCCGTCAGGATATGTCACTAGACAGCAGGACTCACTACACACGATGCAGGATTTAAATTAAAAGAGTAAAGCCCATACCCTTAGGCCATGCTGTGGTGCTTTCTGCTCTTCCCCAAAGCAAGCAGGGCTCAGGGCCCTCCCAGCAACATTGACAGGCCAAGTTCACCATGCACTTCCACGACAGCACGCCAGGCAGGGACAAGGCCTGCTTTTAGAGCCCCTGTGACCCTCTACCTGGCATGGGGCATAACATACTTGCTTTCCTGATCACTGTAGCATGGGAGAAGTCTTATCATTGCTCTAGGAGCCAGACAGGGTATTCTGCCTCTTCACCAGTGTCACTTATAAGAACAAGAATATTTATAGCTCTGGGACATGGAAGAACAAAACTCAAGAGGCAGGAAGTGCTGGCAAAGGCAGGCTTCCTTCCTGCCCTTTCTGCTATTTTGTGGTCTCCTTCATGGTAGCTGCCACTGTTTAGAAAGCAGGATAAGCCTACTTAACTGTTGTGGAAAGTATGAGGAGGGGGTGGCCCCCATGAAGGCACTGCTTGTACCCTGAGCATAGCTGTCAGGAACACTTGTCACTAACCTACCTAGAAATCGGGACAAAAAGTCACATCACCTTTACTCTTGTCAGTGCTGACAGAGAGATAGCTCATCTAATGAGGGCAGCCAGGAACAGAGACAGCAGAGGGAATGCCTGTAAGCTCCCCTGTGCCTCTGCAACACAAGGGCCTTATGCTTTTTACATGCTCATACACTTCATTTAAGTTACCTTCAGTCAGATAATGTAAACACAGGGATAGAGGAGGAAACAAGACAAAAACCATCCACTTCTCCCCAGCCCCCTCACCCCAAGCACAAATAGCCTTCCACAATAAAAAAAAATCTCATGACTTATTTGACAACGCAAAGTATCAGCAAGATTAGTCTCATCCTTTCCTTGATAAACACATTCTAACCTCTAAAGACTCACTGTCCATCTTATAGGGTGCAGCCTATCCTGTAAATAATGCAGTATATGCAGGACAGGAATTCTAAGCACTGTGTCACACAAGATATTCCTGCAGCATGGCCAGGGTCCTGCCACACAGGGTGTGTGCTCTGTCCTACTCACACACAGTAGCCGAGTTACACCCACCTCTTCCGCACTGCTAAACTTGGAGACTTGTGGAGAGTCCTTACATGTGTTCCCCAGACTTACGCAGCCCCCTAGAAGGACAGGTGTCCAGAAAGCTTCCTGCTCATTTGCACACCAAGTCCCTTGCTATCATTACCTGCACCAGCTCTGGAGAACGAGGAGGAAGAGCCCTTTCTATCCACAGTCACCACATCTGTGCCCACAGGGTGACTGGCAAGACACAGCTACAGCTCATGCCCTTCTGGCAGAGCTGCAAGAAGGCCTGGATAACAAAGGTTTTCAGACAGCAGAGAGCAAAGGACATCAGTAAATCAGCAGAGTCCAAAGCAAATGCCCTATCAATCATGGGGATTCCCAGCTCTGGAGCTGCTGCTGCAGTACACATCTGGAGAGTGTTACCACCATGCAGAAGGCAACAAGCTTTCAGGCTGTCTGCCTTTCCATGAAGAGCCTTCAAATGGCTGAAATACTCTGCAGAGTGTTATTTCCCCTTCCCCATCAGCTGGCCCAACTGCTCAGCTGTTCAGAGGAGCAGCAAATGCAGCCCTACCCTAGAGCCAGGAGTCAAATTCCACTTCAGCAGCATTTGTTTAAGGCAGGACCTCACACCAGCACAGTTGCCAGCTGAGCTGCACTGAGGCAGCCCTGTTGTAGCTTCAGCAGTCACAGAACCAGCCCTCAAACCTGGGCAGCCTGCCCAGGCTCCCAACTCCCCACAGCAGGCAGGAGTTTACCTTTCAGCAGGTCCTCAAATGCTGCAGCAGTCCTAACTCAAGCCCTGTCTCATGTAGGCATGGCTAGCAGGCAGCTGGGGAATAGCAGTAGCAGACACACTCCAAGGCATTGCAGGGCACAGCAACAATGTTGTAAGCAAAGAGACTGTTTACTAGGCAGACCTAAAAGAAAAAGCTGAACTGCAGCTAGTGGTACTTGGTGCATTCAGGATTTAATAACTCTAGTAACCCTGTTTGATACAGCCCTCAGGCTGCATCTGGAGCTTAGCAGCCAAGTGTTGCAGACACTGACCCACAGGTTGCTACATGGCTTGTCACCCATAGCTGCCATGTTGCCAAGCCATTGACTCCATGGTATAACATGATGCCGGGTCTCTAATGGCATCAAGACCACAGTTCATGAAGCAGCACAACAGCCTGGATCCTCTCAAGACCTTACTCCTAAGGTTTCTGTCAGGCTTCACCTCACCATGTCTTTTCCCCTGGTAAGTGCAGTTAGCCTGACTCCCCTGCTCTTCTCTACTCCTTAAGTACGCTAGTGCCAGCCTGCAACACGCCCAACAGCTCAGCATGTTCTTAGAAAGCAAAGCTATTTGCAGGAGCACAAGCCATGCCCTGTTCCCTGTCAGCCCCCCATCCCCAGCAAGGAGATGCGAGCAGCACTTCTTGGTCGGAGACGGCATGATGCCTGCCCAACACAGACTTGTTGGAGCTTCCCTGGCTGGGACTAGTCCCAGAGTTGTAAAAGCCAAACAGCCACGGACCACACATTGCAGCAAACAGGGTCAAGGGAGCAACTACTGCCAAGGTAGCTTTATTCACAGCAAATCATGCTTTGCCTGGCATGTGGTCTAACTCAGTACCAGCTGCAAGGCCGCAGCGTAAGTAGGCACACAGATGGATACAAACCCTTCCCGCTGCCCATCCCTGTAGCACACACAGGAGCAAGCAGATTAGAGCAGAAAACAGCAGAGGAAGCAGCCGTTGCAAGTGTGGGTTTATTTCACTATGCATGGGGGAGAAAAAAAAACAAACCAAGCTATAGCTGTTAGCTGAACTTAATGGCTTTGACTTTAAAGTCACCCTCCACAGCCAGGTATTCAATTTTCTCCATGCCCAGCCGATTAGGGAACTGGAACTCCATGTCGGGCAGCTTCACTGTCGCCTCCGTTTCATTGAAGGAGATGCAAATCTGAGGAAAGCCACAAGAAGGAAAAGTTAACACAGCACAGGTCACAAGCCTCGCTCCCCAGAACCTCCAGTCTGGGTGCAGGCCAGATGAGGTGGCTGCTGGCATCAAGGCCATGCTGCTCACTAGCTCAGCCTCCTCCCTGCCCAGCAGAGGCACAGAGGGGAAGAAGCTCATTTGCTCTGCCCCGAGGTCAGCTCGAAGCTTCTGCAAGGAAGGGATGAGACAGACCAGTCTGAGCCTCAGGTCAGTGTTTTAATTGCTCTTACTAGTGTGGCTTGCAAAGGAAGGCCAGAGAGGAGCACTTAACATGTCTGAGCTGATGGGCATTGACTTCAGCAGAGCAGGTCGAGACAGCAGGTTGTCTTCAGCTGCAAGACTC